GTTGATAAAAATTTACTAGTAGTGGAGATAATCTTAAACGAAAGAAAAAGAAAAAGGAAAAGGTATCAACAACTTCCTAGGCTGGGTATATGTTAAAATCATCAAACGAAAGGTCTCTTACTACGAAGTTGGAATCCGTTAGAAAGAATCTGATAGGACCTGATGAGAAGCAGCAGCCAAGCATTTTTCGCTACTCCAATTCCAATGTCTATAACAAAAGCTCAGTTCCAGGAAGGGGCGGCAGAAGTCGGCATACGGAGCTAAAATTTCCTTTTTATACACTTTTTAGTCTTCCAACTTTGGAAGACAAATTTTCTTCATCGGAAATAACCTATTTTTTCCCTCTTTTTCCATATTAAAAAAAAAAATTATTTTCGATTTTCAATGTTTGTGGTTTGATTAGATTCGGAACTGAACCGCTGGTTGGCATTCCCTAATTGATTGGGATTGAAGGAGAACTTTTCTGTCGAGGAACCGGCGGGTCAAACTCACCATGTCATTTGTAATTTTTTTTTTTTTTTTAAATTAGTAATTTTCATTAACTTGCATCACTGTAAATCTATGACCTATTCAGAAACAATTTGACTTTTATTAATTATTTGGAAATAAGGTTAGATTTCTTTACGTCATAATTCAAAGAATTGCATAAATATTTTTAAAGTATAAGATTATGTGCTATAGAAGCAAGCAAAGGAAAGGAAGTAGGGTTACGATTTGCATGCAAGAGATGAGGTGTCTGCTCGTAAGAGATAGGCACAAGAAATTGGTGGAAGCTTGTAAGCATCATATGGTGGCCAGCCAATTACCTCGTAACTCGCAAAAACTATATAATTGTTTTATAACTATAAGCTCTTTAAAGTGCAAATAGACCCACTTGGTCTCGGACCTGCACGCAGGCACCATATATCTCATTTGATGCTTCTCTTTTCTCTGATAAAAATTATCCATTTTGATGACTTTTTGCTGTTCTTTTGTCTTCTGTTTTGGAATATAAAGCATTGGGTGTGGGGTTGTGAGGTTTGAAGGGAACTGTTCCATTCACACAACCATTTTTCATGTTGGGAAAACTACACATTAGATCCATAACGGAAAAGTGTTTTCATTTTATTATAAGAAGGAAACGCTTCCAAGAGAGATTTTTTGCATTCATAATAATGAAACACTGACTTTTTATTTAAAAAATCCGATTCATTTCCATTAAGACTAATTCGTTGATTTTATTTTCATTTTCTTTAAATAAAATATAATATAGACTGAGAAATTGAACGTGAAAACAATTTTAAAAATATAATTCCAATAATACATACTACGTGTGCCCTATTTCATGTTCAATTATTATCTGTAAGAATATATTTTTTGTACTATGTGGTCGTTATAAGCTAATTCACAATAAAAAAAATCCCAATATTATCTTTGATTAGTGTACATATAATTCGATGTGCTTTAAATTTTTTTAATAATCTTATTTGTAATTATTTAAAAATAACTTTAACTAAAACTAAAATGCATTTAAATAATAAGTTAATTTTTAATTATTTAAAATTTTCATTGAATACTTTAATAATATGAAAATTGTTCTTATGGAAAATGGGTAATTCTGAAATTATTATAAAATACAATGCTATTTTTGGCATATAAATCTGGCATGTGTAATGATTAATTTGTCAGTATTATAAAGAGAAGGAAAATATATATATATATATATAAGATGCCATAAGGGATGTTATCTGTGTCTGTTTGGAGCTATTTGAAAGATGAATTGAATTGGGATTTGGATACTTAGACTAAAATATGAGATTCTCATCCTAACAATTAATACATCTTGTCTCTCTATTTCAATGTTGTAGGTGATGATATCATTCACACTTTGTCTTTCTGTTTTTCATACAAATAAATTGAGATATTCTCAAAGTAATTTATTTATTTTATATTTGAAATTATTAATAGGTTTCATATTGGAATTTAGATAAAATGAACGACTTTTTCTTTCTTTGGATACTTGGTAATTTATTAATAAAAAACAATAATTTTGAGTATATTATGATATTTTTATAGGAATAAGAAATAAAAATATATAAAATTGAAATTTTCTATTTAAAGATGATGATATCAGAAGAAATAAATCTTTCAATAAATGCCGGCACCTTTTCAAATAGGATGATAATGTTAATTTTTTACAATATTGTTTTGAACTTTATTCTTATGAAAACTTACTATAGTTTTTTTAGAAGAAATCAAATTAAAAATTTATTAAAGAAAACCGGATATAAATATAAGATATATATCAATGTATTGTATATTTTTGTATAAAATTCTAATAATGAATCACTTATATATATAAAAAAACACAATATTGATTTGAAGCCTTCGATATAATTGATAGAGTTATACTTAACACACATAAAAGAGTTCAAAATATAGAACAGTAACAGAGAACGCACTATCAAGCTCCATCGATGAAAGAAATTTATCAAACTCGAAAATTTAAAGTCTCTAATAAGCAATCAATAATTCATCTTATATTTTAAAATTAAAAAAAATAAAAAATATTGAAAAAATTATCTTTATTATATGTAATTTTTTATTTATCTTTTTATGAAAATTGTAAATCAAATTGAATATTATTTTCTTAAAATGATGATAATCATCATAAAAAAATTTACTGTCACCTCAAGCTAGGGCTTAAGGCCCAAGCTAAAAATTTGGTGGCAGGCCTTATTCTTTGAGGGTATTTAGCTTAAATGCCCAAACTCTAATTTCCTATTCCGATACAGCCCATCTTTTCCCTTTGACTTTCCGAGTTGGATTCTAAGTTCTAACTGTTCTTTTACCTCTGAAAGTTGCATATTTATATTATATATTCTACATGGTACGTTGAAACATGAAAAATACTCTATAAAGAAATAAACATAATTTTTTATGTAAACCATATAATTAAATATATAATATAAAGATCTCAGATTCTCTTGTATAATTATTTATATTATATTTACATCATTTTCATAAGTTGACCGGCTTCATAACTAATTTTTTTTTTTTTTTCTCCTTTCCCTTGTATATATGTCTATTTAGGGTTGTAAACAAGAAAGATTTTATCTAGTTTAACATTTAAAAAATTAAGCTCGGTTCATTTATACTTTATAATTAATAAAATATTATCTCTTTGAACTAAATTTAAATTTGACTTATTTATTAAATGAGTTCGATTAACAGATTTTAACTCAGTTCGTTAAATTTATCGAATGAATGTAAATAAGTTTTACTAATCAAATTTCAAGTAATTTACTAGCGGTTTGACTCGTTTACAATCTAGATGGCGTATTTTTTTATATATAATATATTAATGTGTATAATATAAATACGTTGGAGTAATTTATAATGGGTTAGTTGAAGTATACATGCATAGGACTAACTTATAATGGGCAGCATGTGAATCACATAGGTTGATATTTAAAGAAAGAAAATAGATTAGCTAGGGCACATTAATGTCTAGGTTCTATGGCTTGCTTGCAAATCTTGTATCAAGATACGCCTAATGGAATATATAGCTAGATAGATGGATCATGCAAGAGATAATCTTGTTTTATTTATTCTAAATCTTATTATTTCCGTTAAGACATATAATTATAAATCAGCAAGTCAATATACGGCTAGCCAATTGTTTTCTTATGACGGTTTAGCATTTTGTGAAGTCAAGATGCCTAATTAATTTAGAAGATGAATTTACAAAATGAATAATAGGGTGCAATTGGAGTTAATCAGATGTGATTTGATTGATTTTTCTGTATTTTTATAAATGATGTGAAGAGTGAGAAGTCTCGAATTCGAATCATTTCCTCCATAAGAGTCACCAATTTGATAAATATTATTCAAGGAGTAAGACTACTTTTATTGTGTAGCTCGCAATGTTATTATGATATATTGTATCTCCCTTATATATAAAATAAATAGCTGCATTTAAAATTTTGAATAGATATCCATTTAAAATAAAGATAGGTTTGGATTTTTGTTTTTGAACGCTTAGTATTATTTTGATTATAGTAAATTAGAAAAAGAACACTAAAAGTTCAAGATAGTTTAGTGATCAACTATACACGGAGTTATGTTAATGTTGAGTGAATAAAAGTTTGGATTTGATTCATAATTAGAGATTAGTTCATAATATTACTATTGGTATTGTCTAATTATACCATAATAATGGTAATTATGACAAAATTATGCTAATAATTATGGTGAATAATCTAATTACTTAATTTCTCGAAAGTATTCAAAAGAATTTATAATGGAATTGAAAGGTATCTAACGGTGAGAAAATTAGGCTCCGTTTGTTTCTGTAAAATAATTTATAGAAAAATATTTTCCACAAATTTCTGTTGTTTGAAGCGCTAAGGAAAATAAGTCAATGGAAAATATTTTCTTGGTCAAAGGAAAATTAAGTCATTTTGTAAGGAAAACAACTTCTCATTTTCAAGAAAGTAAAATATTTTTCGGATATTGATAAATCTTATAAATCTATATTTTTTAATTTATTAATCATTATAGTCACTATCATCGGTCACCATTTACCACCGACCACCACCGGACATCTACGGCTTTCATAATTTATATAAATCTTTTTGCATTGTTTTCATATTTAATAATAAAATTTTTAAATTATAAAATTTCTATTATTATTAATATTTTTTATGGTCTTGTGAAATAAAAACTTTAATATTTTTAACTAATTTTCAATATTACAATCAAACAAAGGAAAATAAATCATTTAGAAAATATTCTTCAAGGAAAATTTTTTTACAAAAATATTTTTCAGCAAATTATTTACAGAAACAAATGGAACCTAAATGTTTCATTAGATTCTACCTGCTTTGACAAAAGATCTACCTCTAGATAGTTTTTTTGCTTATACTTGCATGAGTCATTAATTCTTGCTCGCTTTAGAGGCAAAAGAGCTAGTACAAGGGAATTTATGTTACGGAAGATCAAATCTATGGCTTAAACTATAGTAGCAGACCTTTCAAGTACTCTTTACTACTGAAATATCAGGTTGAGATTGTACATCTAGATAGTTAATACTACTAAAACTATAAAAAGAAAGAAGTTAATATCCATCCATTTCTAGGAGTGTTTGTGATCAGATCACCGCCAAACTTCTGATAAACATGAAGGAAAAAAAATAAAATATTTTAAATGCTTAATAATAATAGTAGATTAGTGATAATCACATATTATTTGGATTATACTGACTAATCATGTGATAAGAAAAAAGTAAAAAAGTCAAACTGATATTACAGGTCAACGAATGGGCCAAAAAATTTTTGATCTATTGGTCCTCATGAGTAGGGACTCTTGACCAAATATTCATACTTGTCAACCCCACTTGCAGGGACAGCTACCATTACTTTAATTGCATCCGTCTGATTACATACTGGCAAAATCAGACAGTACTTATCACTGCATATGGGTCCCACATGAACTGGCCTTCCCAACCCAAAGTCAACCCTTTCTAACCCCAGTCTTGACCATTGTGACATTATCAAAACTCCCACTGAGTCAGGACACGCTCCTGATTGACTCACTGACTCAATAACCGATCTAACGTGCTCGTTGTCTACTCTTTCTTTTGCTTTCTGTATCAAACCTGCTGCGTATCCTAAACCCTTTTCGGTTAAGTCCTTAACACTTGTTTGTGCACAGCCTAGAACAAATCCGTTGCCGTAGTATCCACCGGGTAGACTCGGTTTCACTCGGTTTCTTATATCAATACTAAACAGAAGCTTCAAGATTTGGTTTGATGGTAGATTTAAAGCCCTAGCCCAGCTTCTCCATACGTGAGCTGATACTACCTCAAAACATGTGTATGCAGGCTCACTTCGCCGACTCGTTGACTGAGCTAGCCTTTTTAACTCGTTTTGCCACCTCTTATCGAATATAATGGATGTGGGAGAGAGTTTTTCGTTATTAAACCGAGCTAAAAAACCGCAAAGGTCTGGAACTCGGTTGAACTCGGGATGACTCACTGAAAAGGGACGAGAAGGCCTTAATGGGTCAAGAAGGTGACGATCCCAAACAGGTTTAGCTTTAAAATCAGAAAAAACTCGACCATGACTCGTTGCTAATTCAGCTAACGAATTAAGAAACTCAGCACTACCAATTCCATCACAAACACAATGGTTAAACCCAACACCTAACGTGGCAGCGCCATCTTTAAGCCATGTAAGCTGAATCACAAGGAGTGGTGCGCCTTGAAGAACATCAGCCACGTAGAAATACAGAAGTTTTCTCCACTGTGTGACGTACCTTGGAGCCCTATCAAAGTCATTGATTGTATTATCAGAAAATGCTTCAACGAACACAGCACCCTGACCTCGACACAAAACCTCCAGACTCGAACCATCGGGTTTAGCCCTGACTCGTCCTGCAAGAGGGTAATAAGGGACCAAGATTTTACCCAATGCAGCTTTGAACCTAGTTGTGATATCAACTTGGTCTAAACCTAGACGAGCCTTAAAAACCAAGAGATACTCAATAGTAAAACGCAGAAAAAGCTGAGAATCAAGAGCTGAAAGAGATAATAAACGAGCGGGAGTCGACTCAGTTGGCTTGATAAGTATAGCTTCCTTGACCTGCACCGAGTTTGCCATTTTCTGGTGATTTTTCTTTAGTTTTCTTTGGATCAAAACTAGCTATGATAACCCACGCAGGGAGAAGAAGGAAGGGTTGGATCGTTTATATATATAAGGGAAACAAGATTCCAGACAATATAATTGGGTTGTTAGAAGTAATGACTTAATGGGTGTTGATTGTTAATTATATATAAATATATATAAGGTAGGAAAGGAAGCAAACAAAACATGTGTGTGTATATATATATATTTGTTGTGGGTAACTGTGGAAGATTTGAAGCAAGATTCTAAGGGCATCACTTTATAGAAAAATGAATATCAAAACAAACGTTAACAGCTTGCCTTTGCTTTCTGTCTGTTTGGCAATGGATTTGATAGCTATGACTCTGGAGAGAGAGAGAGAGAGAGTGAGAGGTGTATGGTCTTTCTTCTCTGTCGCTATCTGTTATCTTACTTTTCGTGGAGTTTTATGGGTGGTTTATTTTTATTTTTTAGTTTTTTATTTTATGTTGTGTGAGTTGATCGCATAGATGCTGATACCTGTCTAGTTCTTGTCTTGCTAGTACATATCTAGCTATTTACCAAAAGGGCAGGCCAAAAGGATGTATGCTAGTTGGGAAAAAAAATTTTAATTTCTTTTTAAAATGTTTTTATTTAACAAATAGATAATATTTTCAAATTAATGTTATTGTCATATTGATTATTTTTTTTTGTATTTCATCATGTATCATGTGGTATGCCCGGTGCGTTGATACGAATGAAATTAATCCATTGTAATATTCAAATAAATCAACACTCTTTCAACAAGTAATTCTAAATTTCGAATCTTTAACATTTTAGATAAAATTTATATGAAGATATAGCATATTATTGTTGAATTAATCTGCAATTAAAAAAATTGGATTGTAAAGATTTTACTTTCTTAATAATTGAAGTAATTTTGTTAAATTCAAGTTATTTTTTTCTATGTTTATAAAAATATATTTAGAGAAATAAATTCAAATGTTAATATCTTTTCTAAGCAACATCAATCAATATAAATCATGATATTATAACAATAAATGTAGAATAAACTTCCACGCTTTGAGACAAGCATAAAAATAGAAAGCTCGAGCTATGAAATAGAAAATAATTCAAAATTTAATGTTGAATAGATTGTATAATTGCAAGTGATAACAATAATAGCTTTTTGTCTTTTGGGGATTGTATAGGTAATGAGATATGAGAGGCCAAAGGAAAAGGCTAGGGAATTGTTGTGTGGATCACCCATAAAACTCCACGAAAAGTAAGATATGAGATAGCGAAAGACAGAGAAGAAAATTAGTATATCAATATTCTAGAGTGATATTTGTTTATTTATTTATTTATTTATTTGATGTGGGATAATATAATTCCCTATAAAAGGATTTGGATCCTCCTAGGATCCATATTTATTCAACTATTTTCAATGTCATTGCTTTTGATCTTGTCTTTATTTTTGGTTGTTTGAAAATTAATGAAGAGTTCAAAATTTGTTTTTGTTTCATCCTTTTTTTTCTGAATGAATAATTATAATACTCTCGTTTTAACTAAAAAATTATTTCATTAGTTTTGGCATACGAATGAGTCTATACATTGAGTGTTAGGTAATTATTTTCTTAATAGATCAACCATATTCTTTTAATAGTATGATTTATATTGCAATTGAATAAGGAACTAATTAAAAAAAAAAAATCTTTTACATTGCCAAATGTTTAAATAACATGATTGACAAACTTATAAAGAAAAAAAAAATGCTAGAAGTAAATTTATTTTTCATTCCTCAGACTGAAAGAAGAATATCTAAACCTGTCTCATCATTCTATTTCTTTGCCTTGTCCAAGGGGATCATTTATAGTGGAAAATGCCAACAAAAAAAATGTGCACATATGTATAATGATACAATACCATGAGCAACATCCACCTATTATCAACAAAAAAAAAAACATCCACCTAGGATACCATATCAATTAAATCATATATATATGGAACTGAAGCTCTGTTGAACTAAAATCTTTTATATATCTATGTCTTGGTTTTGGGAGAAAGGAAAGGAAATAGGATGGGTTTATATGTTTCTTCTTTGCTTTGTTAGCATATATATGTAGGCCATAGAGATTGTCTCCTAATGAGGACAGCCTCAATTTATCTTTATTCTTGTGGTAGATATGGACTATGTATATAAGAAATATTTATATTGATATGCAAGATGAAATGAAAAAAAAATTAATTCACGTTGATTCGAGATTCTTCGAAACATATCATTCAAATCATGGCGTGGTTTCATTCCGATCGATATACAGAAAAATAACTCATCATAAAAAAACTTATGCTTCTGTTATTTGATTTTACGTAAATAAATTTTTATACTCACTCGTTATATGAAAGGAGGAAACGAAACCGAACCGCAATCGAGAAGTCCCATCATCGTCTTTTCTAACATTAATTAATTTACAAGTAAAACAATGTCGCAGGCATAGTGTAGCATGAGCATCGGATGGGAATATTTTTGGTATATATTAGTTGTGTTGTGTCTCTGTAAAATCTAAAAAAGAGCCAAGAATAGGCAGCTCCTTCCTAGCTAGCCAGTATCTTCAAAGCAAAACATAAAAAATACAACAACCAACCAACCAGTCATAAGAGAAGAAGGAGACATTACTTGGATGTTGATATGACCATGACATAACTGGAGATTCCTCTTGTCAATTCCTCTCCTATCACCGCCCTATTTACTTCTTTTCGGATTTCTCAGGGACAACTATTCGGTTTTTCACTTTTTCGAATCGAGATGAATTAACTCGTGATTTAGTTACTCTCTCATCTCTCAAAAGTTACGTTAGGGGCATAGTATAAGATTCAACACATTCATATTATATACAAGTTAATATTAATATTTGTCCAACACTTTCAAATACATGTCGAGTATTTTAAAAAACATGTCATTATTAATTATTTCATTTTATTAATTTCAGACAACTTAAAAAATTTAAAACATCAATCAAATATGAAAACGAGCATATCAATAGAATATCCTAGCAAGAGTATGAGTTAGCTTTGATAAATTCAAATCCAATCTAGTTTCGAGTCAAACTTCCGATCAAAGAAAAAAGAATAATACGAGCGTAATTCGATAATTTAATTGTACATATTATGTGATATACATATATTATTTTTTATTTGTGGTACCTGGGGGTGTGTCGGTGTTACTGGTTGATATAGTAAATGAAAATGGTCACAAGAATGTGAAATCTGGTCCAACTGTGTAGGGTATTATCGAGAGGTCAAAACTGGGGTAGGACCTTTTCAAAGATGATGCAAATCAATTTAAGATAAAAAGAAAAAGATACACATATATATATAAAGGTTATGAACAAAAAGCAATGGATGAGATAAGAACCATATTTAATATTAAAAAAAAAAAAAAGATTTTATAAATTTAATCTCTTTTTGAAGGATATGCAAGAGATATCATTATCTGCTGCTTAAGCTTCTTTCTTTCTTTCTTTCTTATTCTTCAGCTCTTAGCTTATCTATGTTTATCTTTCTTTTTTTTCCAGCTGGGTTTGAGATTAAACCATCACGTCTTTTCACAAAAGCATGAGGAGACAATATGTACTTAAAAGATATTATAATTAATTATATGATTGAATGCTATTTTCTTTTCTTTTTTTCAAAAAAAAAAAAGAAAAAAGAAATTATACTCCAAAAGAATTCTGATTCCAAGACAATGGTTAGGATGCATTTACCATATATATATTCATATATTTTTTGATCATAAATTAATTTTGTAATAAGATAAGAGATTTAATAATATTTATAAATTATTGTTGTTAATTAATTTAATAATTCACTATATACATGCATGCATGTTCCCTCATTTTTCTTTTCATTTTACACTATTAACAATTTTGTAAATATGAAAATGAAAAAAATTCAATAAATCAATGATTCAAAAGAACTGTATAGTAAGATTTTTTTTTTTGCAATTATTTTTATTTTAATTCAAATTTGAAATTTCTTAAAAACCCATTACAAAATATTAATTTTTAAGATATCTCTTTGGAAAAATATCTACAAATTTCTTGTAATTTTTCTTTGTAGTTTCTAGAGACAATTTATTTATCTTAGCTTTTTTTTTTATTCAAAGATGATTGGTTGATCATAACTATTTCTCTTTTTCTTTTTTTTTTTTTTACTATAACTATTTCTCTTTTTCACAAATGAAAAAAAATTTAATTTTTGGTACTATATAATATGCAAAAAAATAAATATTCGACCAATAAATTATTAATTTAATAGCACTATGTTTTCATGTATCACTTTAATGGTAAATTTCATCAATGGAATCGTGCGGTGCTTGAAAATTTATAAGCTAAACAACAAAAATTTTTGTATACACTACAATTATTGTTTAGTGGAATTAATAATGCATTGTGACTTTGTTAGCCAAATCTATGGCCCAAAGCATGAAGGGGCCAGACGTGGGAATGGGCTTTATATATATTTTCAACACCACGTGGTGCATTTCTTAGTCAACTAGAAAGTGATTGTGTTTTTAAATAACTTGCTTTTGTCAAATAATAAGACATATTGTTCTTGTTTTTGTATGGCCTCCCAATAAATTTTCTTACCACCAAAGTCTTTTCAATTACCCTTTCGATTATTTGCATTCCTCGTACATCAAAGATTCGGTTTGAATCGGTTATTATATCATTTGATTTCAAATTTGAATGCTATAAAATATATTCTGATAAATTGAAACCTGTAGAATTTTAATATCTAATCTTTATATTAAGAGATAAATACTCGAATTTTTAATTTAATTATTTTTCTACTATTGTATTGTGCCTCACAAATGATATATTGGTTTATTATTTTTTTTTTTTGCTACCCAAATGATTTCAACTTAAATAAATAGTGTCCACTAAAAAAAAACAAAAAAAACTTACATAAGAGTATCTTCTCAAAAAAAAAAAAAAAAAAAAAAAAAAAAAAATCTTCTCAAAAAAAAAAAAAAAAACAAAAAAAAAAAAAAAACTTAATAAAGAAAAAAAAAAAAAAAAAAAAAAAAAAAAAAAAACTTAAATAAAGAGTTCCCGAAAAATAAAGATGTAAAAGAAAGATATATGTAGATAAGCCAGTAGTATCCTACTGGGCTATAAGTTGGAACCCAAACCCACTGGGCTTCTCAAATGAGCCTATTTTGACTATTGGGCTTTAAAATATTCTGTCAAACTAAGAGAAGAGCCCTTTTGAAAACAATTCTTTGAAGTTTGGAAATAGGTGAAAGATAAAATAAAATAGATTGCAAAAATATTATTCCGTTTTATTTTTATTTACCACTCCTTCACTTACATTCAAATAAAATAGATTGCAAAAATATTATAAATTCCTTTTTTTTTTTTTTTTAAATAACGTTCACTTCTTGTATCGTTTATTATTTTTTAAAAAAATTATGATTTCTTTTTATTTTTTTGGTAAATCATAAATTCATGATTTGGAAAAAGCAATTTTTCTTTTCCAAAACATTTGTCAAGAGAAGTTTCTTAAGTACAATGCAATTGGAAAATATTTCAAAAGTTGGTTGTATAATTTGTCAAGAGAAGTTTCAAAAGTTTCTTTATGTTTCAAAGATATTTTTTTAGTGGCATAATAATAATTTCATTTTACATTTTAAAATTAATGTTATTTTACAAGTTCAAAACCTCTATTAAATTTGTATTTTAAAAAATGTATGCAAACTAAAAAGAGGAGAAGAAAAAACTTAATTTGGGTTGACTTTGTTTGACAAAAGAGGAGACATTTTAACATGCACATGTTGATTATGTTGTAATCCAAACACTACTTTTAAAATTCATTTCCCGTCCAACCCCAATATAGAGCTGACGTCACCGCCGGTCACAATGCACGGCCATCTCTACCCTTACCCATTTCCATTTCCACTCCTTCCTTCGAATCCGATTCTCTTTCTCTCTTATCCTATGCTCCTCTTTCCTTCCGGCGCACTTTAGTCCCTTCCACCGTACATTCCCCTTTCTGTTCTTTCCTATGGACCCGATCCGGTCCCTCCACTTATCCACCCGCCCCTCACCATCCGGCGGCGGTGGCCGTGAAGACTGTTGGAGCGAAGGCGCGACGGAGACTCTTATCCAGGCATGGGGAGATCGTTATGTTAATCTCAACCGTGGAAATCTCCGTCAAAAGGACTGGAAGGAAGTTGCCGACGCCGTCAACGCCCGTCAAAACGGCATCAAGCCACGTAAGACCGACGTCCAGTGCAAAAATCGGATCGACACGTTGAAGAAGAAGTACAAGCTCGAGAAAGCTAAACCCCCTCCGTCGAAATGGCCGTTTTATTTCCGTCTAGATTCACTCATTGGCGTTAACGCTACCGTTAATCCCAAAAAGAAGTCTGCTGCCGTGACTTTAACCCTGAAATCGAAGTCAATCCCTAAGCTAGAGCTTTATCCTGGTGTGTCAAATTCACCTGAGGCGTCATTGGATGAAGAGAATGACGAGGATGACGATGATATAGGGTTTGATGAGAGAGTAATAAAGAAGCAGCATAGAATGGAGGATGTAGATTTCTCCGATGGGGCTGCGTGTAGGGAATTAGCAAGAGCCATATTGAAGTTTGGTGAGATATATGAAAGAATCGAGAGCTCTAAGCAGCAGCAAATGGTGGAGCTTGAGAAGCAGAGAATGGAGTTCACTAAGGAACTTGAGTTTGAGAGAATGAACATGTTCATGGATGCACAAATGGAGCTAGAAAAGAAGTCATTAAAGCGAGCCAAAGACACGTCTTCTAGTTCAGGTTAATTCATTTTCTAAATTTATGCTTTTGAATTTATGGTTGATAATATGATTTGATGAACTGTGAGTTTAGGAAAAAAAGCTAATTTATTGTGGCAATTTAATTTTTATGCTTACTAATTTCTTGGGTAATTACTAATTAGTGCGTAATTGTTCATTGTCAGTTTACTTGTATCAAGAAGGAAAACCTGAAGATTGCTATTTTTGCTTTTGTTGATTCAAATTTAGTTTTTGCTCTTCTATGGCACTTTTGTTAAGTTCTGGACAGGAATTTGATGGTTTGTGACGGGATATAGAGTTATTTGGGTTTGAAATCATTTTCATGGAAGTTTTTCTTTTATTTTTTGCTACCAAGATAGATAAATTTTGTGCGTGAAATTAAAAGTTTAAACTTCCAAGAGTTTTCTTGATTGGGATTTGAGGGGAGTCGAGGAAAACATAGTCAAAACTGAACTGGTGTAAGTACCTTGATGTTTGTTCATCTAAACATATTTTGGAATTGTATTTAGCTGCTTTGCCCTTGGTTCATTCAAACTTTGCCCAATATACACTGGCTTGGCTAGGGAGACTTTAAACAGCGTGCAGTTGACTTGTCCGGCTTCTTGATTACACCTATTACATTGTGAGATAAGAGTTTTTGTTGAACATGCTTACTAGAAATGATTTAGAGTTTGACCTTTGTGTTTTGGCTCAATGATACTAGAGTTTGTCTCAAAGGTTATGAGGTTATGAGTTCAAACTCCAGTCAAATCCTAATTAATCAAGAGAGAGAGAGAAAAAAAAAAAGCTTAAGGGTTTTATAATTGGATGATTTTCTGGAGCTTTGTAATTGTACTTCTTGCTTCTGTCTTCATAGAACTCAGTTGCTTTAAATAGTGTGAACAGTTTATTTTGTCTTCTAAAACCCCACAGAGGGAGGGAAAGCAGACCAGGATAAAAGATGCAAATGTGGGCTATGCATCTGATGTTCTTTAGCTGTCACAAGGCTTGTGATGTTGGCGGTATTTTAAATGTCTATTGGTTCTCAAATCTTACACCGATTTCAATTATGCTGAAAAGTAGAAGGCAGTTGCATTTTGAGCGGTTGTGTTGCGTACATGTATTCATAATCATCATTGGACATTTTTTATCATATATGATAAGATAAGAGCATACAACTTAGATGCATTTTGCTTGGCATTCAATATCTCTGTCTCTCTGTTCAAAATGGACATGAATGCACTAACCAACAGCCACGGACATGCATGTGCTTGCGGGTCGCAGCTTGTACGCATTCACCCAGAGCTTCCCAGATGGTTAACTTTATGCTTTACCCTTTTCTATTCCCATCTTCTTCTGTCTGTTTTGAATAAATGGATCTGGAGTCATCAAAAGGTTGTTATTGCAATGCTAATGAAATTAATGTTGCGGTTAAACTTGAGATTGCCTTACATTTAAGTTCTACTAACCGGTCGATGAATTGGGATATTTCAAAAACAGGGAAGAAGTTATAGGTGAGATCAATTGAACATTTGAATTCCATGCATAATGCTATGTACAAATCTCCATGAAAGCGTTCTTTGGATCACTCAGCTCCAGACTGAAGAAGTTTTCTGTTACATCATCAATAGATTCAAATTCGGAGCTTTTGTAGATGATTAGTGTGTAGTGTATCTATTGTTGTAACATTATTCAGTGTAAATGATTAAGTTCTGCTACAAATTCTGTTCATCTGTAGTATTCTAAACCGTAAGTAATCCCGGTGACCTATATTCCCAGCCCCAGGCATCTCATTGTTTTTTAAGTTATGAATATGATAAAGCTGTGTCTCAATAAAGTTGATGCTGATTGAACACTTCTCCTTTTTGAATGATGTTCATAGGACACCCTTAAGATATCAAAAGAAATTAGGTTTACTTTTTACTATTTAATTGTCACGAAACTCATTATTTAAGTTTTGAGGTCAAAATAGAAATCAGAATTTGCGGGAGATTTCCAAGGCATTTGCACTAAGGAGACTTGGCATTAGCTAGGGTTGCATCAAATATATTAGGCCATGTTTGGTTTGTTTTGAAAATGGATGAATGTCTTATACTGAACTAATGGATAGAATTAGTCGTTATTTCAAGAATTTACTTAAAAACCAGTATCATTCTAAGATGAATTCAAATTATTCAATTTTACATAATGAAATTTTAGTTTAAGAACTTTATTCCAGTCTCAGTTACAGAGTAAATTATTCCATTACTTGCCTACTTTGTTTCCGTAACTGGCAGCTCTGATGGCAACTACTTTCACTTCTAATGCATTGTAAGACGTACCTCTGCTCGGAATAAATGAATTCTACATTTTAAGTTTATTTATACCAAACAGAACGTTAGAAATATGCTGTAAAATGAATTCCCATCTTTGGATTCGCATTGCACCAAAAAAGTAAACAGCTTCATGTGGGGTTGAAAATATCATTACCCAACTGCTCCAATAGCAAAGCTACTTGAGGGCTTTTGTGAATTCTAAGTTCTGCTACTGTGCCAAATTACTATTACAGCCATTAAAAATGGTTATATGGATGATTAACCAAAAAAAAAAAAATCCATGTTCAGAAAGGGGAAAAAAAAAAATGCAAATACTGATTAAACAGAATAATTAGGCTAATATTGTCTCCCTGGGTTATAGTGCATGAGGTCAGACCACAAATCCAGATAGTTCTCATCTTCTTTAAGAATTTCTGATATGTAAAAAATATAAATAAGCTAATTGACCAGTGCATAGAACAATTTTGATATAATAAACTACACTAATCTGAATTATTCAGAGAATTTCCCTTTGTTTAATTCTTGATTGGAAACATAAGCTGGAAAAGCCAAGTTCTTGAAATCAACATTAACACGAGAGAAGGAAGAAGGAAAAGAAAAAGAATACATATATATATATCTTAAAATACTAAAATATATATGGGAATTGACTAAAATCAATATTGATAAACCCATCTTGACTCGACTCAGATGAATTTTGGCTAAAATTTCCAATAAATCCACTGCAAGCAGGAAATTCAGAGAAATTTGGTGGCAAGTTACTGGGATAATCATGGAGAAAAGGAGAAGAAGAAAACGAAGAATTTGCAGTATACTTAGCTAAACGAGCTTTAGCAATGGCAAGATCAAGTTGTAGTTCAACCATTTTTCTCTGCAACAAAGCAATAGCACCAATGCAACCATAAACAGGATCTCTAAGCCTTGCTTCAGCTTCATAAGCTAAAGAATTGACAGTATCTTCTCTTTGCTCTTCAGGAACTTCAATGAGGATCTTGCTTACGTTGCTTGCACCAAAAACTTTGTGTACTTTTGCGAACTTCTTAGGCTCATCGGATCGAAAATACGGTGCGAATATGCAATTTGTTATGCATCTTCTTTTTAAGAACTTGCAGGCTGCACATGAAGAGCTTGAACGAGGCTCTTGACTTCTCATTGCTTCATATATCACAGTCCACCTTCTCTGTCCTATATCCTTCACAACCATTTACTACTATATATACACACATTATTTATGTGTACCAATCGACATAGTTGGTAATACTAATTTATTGTTGCTTTGGCTTATTAGGTCAGTTGTTACAGCCCCGTGCTAATAATGCGAAGGTTTGGAGGCCTCTATGGCCATTTCATTTTTATTTTGGTTCGAGTTAGTTTAATAACTTAATCGAATAGGCTTTTATTGCTCGGTTCAATAATTGTCGGTTTGGCCTATTAGCTCAGTTGGTTAGAACCTTGTGCCAATAATGCGAGGTCACAGATTGGGCCATTGATTTCAATTATATTTTGAGATGGGTTGAGACCTGTATGGCCGTTCCATTTTTATTTTAGTTTGAATTAGTTTAATAAATTTAATCAAATAGGCTTTTATTGCTCGGTTCAATAATTGTTGGTCTGGCCTCTTAACTCAGTTGGTTAGAGCGTCGTGCTAATAATGCGAAGGTCACAGGTTTGAGACCTGTATGGGCGGGCAATTGATTTTGGTTATATTTAGAGATGGTGAGTTAGTTTACAAACTTAATCGAATAGCTTTTATTGCTTGGTTCAATAATAGTTGGTCTGGCCTCTTAGCTCAGTTGGTTAGAGCGTTGTGCTAATAACGCGAAGGTCGCAGGTTTGGGACCTACATGGGCCAGTGATTTCAATTATATTTAGAGATGGTTTGAGACCTGTATGAGCCATTGATTTTGATTATATTTAGAGTTGGTTTGAGACCTGTATTGGCCATTTCATTTTTATTTTGGTTCAAGTTAGTTTAACAAACTTAATCGAATTTTATTGCTCGGCTCAATAATAATTGGTTTGGCCTATTAGCTCAGTTGGTTAGAGCATTTTATTGCTCGGCTCAATAATAATTGGTTTGGCCTATTAGCTCAGTTGGTTAGAGCGTCGTGCTAATAACGCGAAGGTCGCAGGTTCGAGACCTGCATGGGCCATTAATTCCGATTATATTTAGAGATGGTTTGAGACCAGTATAGGCCATTTGAATATATTTTGGTTTGAGTTAGTTTAACAAACTTAATCGAATAAGCTTTTATTGCTCGGTTCAATAATAGTTGGTCTGGCCTATTAGCTCAGTTGGTTGGTAGAGCGTGCGTGCTAATGAACGCGAAAGGTCGCTAGGTTCGAAGACCCTGCATGGCCATTGATTCCGATTATATTTTAGAGATGGTTTGAGAACAGTATGGGCCATTTGATTTTTATTTTGGTTTGAGTTAAGTTTAACAAACTAATCGAAATAGGCTTTTTCTTATTATTGCTCGGTTCAATAATAGTTGGTCTGGCCTATTAGCTCAGTTGGTTAGAGCGTCGTGCTAATAACGCGAAGGTCGCAGGTTCGAGACCTGCATGGGCCATTGATTCTGATTATATTTAGAGATGGTTTGAGACTAGTATGTGCCATTTGATTTCATTTTGGTTTGAGTTAGTTTAACAAACTTAATCGAATAAGCTTTTATTGCTCGGTTCAATAATAGTTGGTCTAGCCTATTAGCTCAGTTGGTTAGAGCGTCGTGCTAATAACGCGAAGGTCGCAGGTTCGAGACCTACATGGGCCATTGATTCCGATTATATTTAGAGATGGTTTGAGAATAGTATGGGCCATTTGATTTTATTTTGGTTTGAGTTAGTTTAACAAACTTAATCGAATATAAAATCGAATAGGCTTTTATTGCTCGGTTCTGTAACATCCTACTGAATCGAATCGTTGCATAGTAGTCGAGTCGAGTTGGGCCGAACAAGAAATCCAGTTTCTTTATTTTGTTTGAGTTAGTTTTAACAAACTTATTTAATCGAATAAGGCTTTTATTGCTCGGTTCTGTAACATCCTACTGAATCGAATCGTTGCATAGAGTCGAGTCGAGTTGGGCGCGAACAAGAAATCCAGTTCGATGCCATTTAAATCAGAGTGGGGTAGAATGGGATGTAACTTAAATAAGTAAAAGAAAGTGGACTTACTTGAATGAAACAAAAAAGATCAAAGTATAAAGGGAGTAAGGACTTACTTTGCACTAAATATAAAGTTTTAGGTTATTAAAATGCAAGCATTATGGAAATTATAGGTACTATTGGTATTTTTAACACAACCAATCAAAGATAATTTGGACTACACGAGACTTCCATTTCAGTTTGCCTTCTTTTCAATTTTCTTCCTCTTTCTCTTCACATCTTCTTCATCTTCCCATCTTCCTCTTCAATCTCCTTTCATCTTCTCTTCATCTCCTTCCTTTCTCTCATCCATTTTCCATGTGATTTTAAAACACTAAATTCAACCTAGAACTCTATCCAAGTAAGTAAGCCCTTCTTGATTTTCATACTTTTGTTGATATTTTAGATGATTTCTAAGAGTTATTATGTATGGAGAGGGGGAACTCAAAGTTTGGATAGAAAAGGAAGCTAAAGAAGAGGAATTTAAAGCTCTTTTGGTTGAAGGTTTGATATCTCTTTTAAGTTTTTTCAACAATTTTCTTGCATGAAAACTTGTGTAGTTGTTGTTGATAATGAAAAACATATATTGCTGGAATGTGATTAGAGGTCTGTAAATGGTGATAAAGCAGGGATGAATTGAATGAAATGAAGTAGATAATTGATTCATGCTGAAGCCCAGTTTTGGTTTTGGACCATTGACCAGTAACTTCAACCCCTGATTTTTGAACTTCTGTTTTAACGATTGGAATTAGGAAAGTGGTATAAGAAGAAGTTATTTGTTCCTCTATGTTTTAATCTGTCCAATGAGTTTTTTGAACACCTAATTTGGAGTTATAAATTTGAGAGAAATATGACCAAAATTTAGTAAAACAAGACAGGCTGGAAATCAACAGTCTGGACAGTCTGGACGGACTGGAAGTTGCTCATTTTGGTAAATATTTGCCTACCTTACCAACGTAATTAAGAGATGTGGTAGAAGACAAATTTGTAGCCTAATGTGTTAGCTAACCATAGAAGGTAGAATCACCTAAATTGGAGTTATATATTGAGATCTGTGACCAAAATAGTATAACTTGTGCAGGCTGGAACCCAACAGCAGGGCAAACTGATAGTTGCTACTTGAGCTCAATGTTTGACTACCTTACCAACGTAATTAAGAGATGTGGTAGAAGACAAATTTGTAGCCTAATGTGTTAGCTATGTAGAATCACCTAAAGTGGAGGTATAAATTGAGAGATATGACCACAATAGTACAAACTATGCAGGCTGGAAACCAACAGCTGGGCAGACTGGCAGTTGCTACTTGAGCTCAATACCCCACTGAAAAGCTTAGAAAAATATGGTGCAAAAGATTAGGCTAGCAAGGACGACAATTACCGGAAAAGAACAGCTGAGGTATTGGTTTAGATAGATACTTTAAGAGTCCTGGAGCAATTAGCAGTGTACACTAGTGGACAGTTATTTAGAGTGTTAAAAATTTTTAATATTTTCCATATGTTACATTTTTACCTAAAACTTTATATTTTAGTGCAAGTAAAGTCCTACTCCTTATACTTGATCTTTTGTTTTCATTCAAGTAAGTTTTCCACTTCTTTACTTATTTTAGTTACATCCCATTCTAGCCCAACTCTGGAATTTTAAAATGGCTCGAACTGGGTTTCTTTGTTCGCCAGACCTCGACTCGAACTCTATGCAATGATTGTCGATTCCAGTAGAATGTTACAAGTTCTACCCTTCTAAATAAAAACTTCGTCCCGAAGGTTTACCCATGTTTGTGAAACAAATGCGGATACTTGTGTGTCGCATGATTTCTTCAAGAATTCCCAAGGTTGCTTCTTCCTGTTTTATGATTCCTCCAAAGAACTTTGACCAAATGCTATTTTCTTGTTCGCAATTCTTAAATTTCCTCTGGCTAGGAATCTGAACTGTTCTTCTTCATGAAGTGAAGTCTGGTTGAATTTCACTCTCTTCTGCTGATAACACGTGTGGATGGGTCAGATCTTGTATCTCCTTAACATTGATACATGAATAGACATTATGAATTCGATCTAATGTCGAATGTAACGCTAGGCGATAGGGCCCCTATGGGTCCTACACGTTCCAAGAATCTCGTATGGACCAATGAACCTAGGACTAAGCTTACCCTTTTCTTCTAAACCTTAGGATCTTTTTCGCCAATGGTGACTACTTTTAGAAAATATTTATCACCGACCCGTATACTCAATGTCCTTTCCTTTAAATCAGCAATAGGAACTTCTTCTGTCGATCACTTGCTTCCTATCAGCCGTTTCTTGATGATTTCCACTTTCTTCTTCTGTTTCTCTAACCAAATCTGGAGCCCCCAAAAATCTTCTTCTCACTAAAGTTCTGTCCAACACACAGGTGTCCTGCATTTTTCTGCCAAATAGCAAGCTTCAATTATGGTGCCATCTTGATGCTCGATTGATAGCTGTTGTTGTAGGCAAAATTTCCATGAGAATTGTTACATATCTGTCCCAAACTGCCTCAAATTCTATAAACACAGATCCTCATCAATGTCTTCCAGGATTTGAATTACTCTCTCTGAACTGGGCCATCCTGTCTGAGGTGAAAGGCAGTGCTGAAATGTTAGTGTTCGTTCCTAATCGTCTTGCAGTTTACCCAGAACTTCGATGTAAACCTTGGATCACGATCCGATATAATGGATGATGGAACTCCATGTAGTCGAACTATTTCGCTCACATATATGTCTGCTAACTTGTCCAGCGAATAGTCCATCCTGACTGGTAGAAAGTGTGCGGACTTAGTTAATCTGTCTACAATCACCCATACTGCATCATGCTTCTGCTGCGTCTGAGGTAGTCCAGTCACAAAATCCATCGTGATCTGATCCCACTTCCATGTTGGCACTGTTATTGGATGAAGTAAACCAGCTGGCATTTGATGCTCTGCCTTTACTTGTTGACATGTTAAACATCTTGTTACCACATTTCCGATATCTTTCTTCATGCCTGGCCACCAATAGCCTCTCTTCAAATCTTGATACATCTTGGTACTACCTGGATGCATTGTGTATGGACTGTTATGAGCTTCATGCAGAATCTTTCGTCTAAGCTCCCCTATCTGTGGTACAACAATTCTGTCTTCATAGAATAAGATTCC